TAACAGGCCATGGACCAGGGATTGGGGTCCTCTAGTCTAAAGTGGTTAGTGTATTACAAATTACCGGGGATTGGGGACCTCTAGTCTAAAGTGGTTAGTGTATTACAAATAAGAATGTCATTACAACATCAGGTACCACATGTGTAATGACATTTGACCTGAGTCTTAGAAACTTAATGTTCAAGAACCTAGTAGAGAACTGAGGTACCATTCCATGCAGAAGCAGCAATGAGAGAAAAGTCACAGGCATACGAAAGAGATCATGGTGCATTCGAGTGAGGTAATTGTTCAGCAAGCTGCAACATAGGCTAGGAGGGATATATTAGCAAAATATATAAGACTAGAGAAGTAAGCAGTGAGCATATTATGCCTTATGTATCATGTCATTTATCTTCTTTCACTTCTGTGAGGAGGCTGTTAAAGGCTTTTTATGCGGGTGAGTTAGTATGATCAGACTTGAGTTTTACAGAGATCACCCAAACAGATATATGGAGTCAGAACTGGAGTGAAAAAGATAGGAAAGTATTGCATTAGGATCTTTGAATGAAAATCCTGAACTAAGGAAGTAGTGGTAGCGAGGGCAGGTGAGATGTTAAGAATAGTATGGTCTAAAGGCTTGGTGACTAAGTCTGTGGGAAGTAAACAAGAAAAACTGCAGTGTCTCCACATTTCCTGGAAGATGGTGGTGTTCTTAACATGATAGAGTTTACCGAAAAGGAAAAGATTATGAATTTATTTCAGTAATGGCTGAGTTTGAGGTATTTGTGGGACTTAAAATAGATAAGTCTCAGAGGCTATACACAGAAACACAGGCTTAGATGTTCGGGATGAAGATAAAGGTTGGAAGTTAAACCATAACGTGGTGGATGAGATGATCAGGCAAAAGCATACTGAGCAGGTAGTGAGGAGTGCCAAAGACCAGACTCAGAGAGAATTCTAGCACTTAAAGAAACCTAGAGAGAAAGTAAAAGAAGAGGGAGGAATGGGAGGAGGTGGTGCAGGTAGAAAGATAGGCTAGACGGACAACTTGGAGATAATATTGTAATTAGAGTCAAGGCTATAATGAGTTAGGAATAAGACTCATCACAGTTCAGATACCATAAATACTGATTGAACCTGGCATTTAGAGGACATTAATGACCTATTCCAAAGTATTTTCAGGACCGTATAGGTTAAGCTGCAGATTGTCTTTCCTGTCCACTCTTTACTCTTCCTTTTAGAAAGAACCCCGAGTTTTATTTTGGCACATGGCAGCCTAGCTAATCCTTGTATTTCAGTTCCCCCTGCAGTGGCTATGGCTGTGTGTCTAAGTTTGGGCTAATGAAACACGCACAAATGGTGTGTGCCACTTCCAGATCATCACCTAAAATACGAAGCCGCTTGCTGTGTGGACTTTTTTCCCACATCAGGCATGCTGGAGGCAGAAGTGGAAGTGAGCCCGCTTCAACCACATGGATGAAGACAGTAACATAGAAGGGACCTAGAGCCTCACAGGACAGAGCCACCCTGATACATAGCACTAGACTGTTTTATGAGAGAGAAATAACAAATTCTGTAAAGTTGCAGGATATAAAATCAGTATACAAAAATCAGTTGTCTCTCTACGCTATTAACAAACTATGAGAAAGATAAATTTTAAAAATAATCCCACTTACGGTTGCATCAAAGAGAATAAAATACCTAGTTATAAATTTAACTGAAGGAGCTAGAGACCTATACATTGAAAACTGTAAGCCATTGATAAAAGATACTGAAGAAGACACAAGTAAATGGAAAGATTTTCCAAGCTCATAGATTGGAAGAATATTGTTTAAAATGTCATACTGCCCAAAGCAGAATTCAGTGTAATCCTTATCATAATTCCATTGGCATTTTTTACAGAAATAAACAATCCCCAAATTGATGTAGAACCATAAAAGACCTCAAACAGCCAAAGCAATCTTGAGAAAGAAGAACAAGGCCGAAGGCATCTTACTTTCTGATATCAAACTATATTACAAAGCTATATGAATCAAAACAATGTGATATTGACATAAAAACAAACACAGCAGTAGAACAGAATAGAGAGCCCAGAAGTAAACCCACAGATATATTGTCAACTATGATAATCTATAACAAAGCAGCAAAGAATATACAATGGGGAAAGGATAGTCTCTTCAATAAACGGTGCTGGGAAAACTGGACATTTGCATACAAAAGATAGACTGGACCACTGTCTTACACCATACACAAAAATCAACTCAAAATGGATTAAAGATCTGAACCTAAGACCTGAAACTATAAAACTCCTAGAGGAAAACATAGGCAGTAAGCTCTTTGACATAGGTCAAGAGCTATGAAAATAATCACTAGAACAACAAATGACTTAAAATAATGGTTTTCTCATCCCTGTTGAGGCCAGCTAATACTCCGATAACTGTACCAAGTACCAAAAAAATCATTAATATTCTTATCCACTGACAAAACTTTGTTAAATTTATTCCTAAATATTTTTCTTCTTATGCTATTTTAAATGGAATTGTTTTCTTAGTTTTGTTTTTGAAATTTGAATATTAAACAGCATTTTGAAATAAAGTGCCCCTCTTTGTCTCTAGTAACATTTCTTTGTCCTAAACTTACTTTTATCTGATATAGTCACTCTAGTTCTCTTATGGTTACTCATTTATTTTTAAAATACATACATACATATACATATTTAGAAAAGAGTAGACAGAAACACTAAAAAATAACACTAAAGTGTTATGTCTGATTTATGGAATTATGTTTTATGTTTTTCTGTGTATTCTGAGTTCTTGATGAGTTTGTATTATAGTTAGGAAAAAAGATTATATAAATTTTAAAAATATTTTGTAAGCTAAACTTTTGGGGTTGCAGACAGTAGAAATTGACTCTTTCAAGTAGAATTTTGAAGAAACTGGACCTCAAACCAGCAGGAAAGCTGGAGGACCAGGCTCCCCAGGGGCCAGACTTGTGGTAGCTGTAGGACTCTAGTTAGCAGAAACTTCTGAACTGTCTCATTTGGTTGATGTCACAGAAAATAAATGAGCACTGACTTCTTGTTCTCTCCTTTGATCTCTCCAGTCAAAATTCAAAATCTAGAAGTGAGCATCCTGAATGAATAAGTCTTTGACACTTAGGAAAGTACATAGCACCTGAGTTACAGTCCCAGGAGTCCACACAATGGGGACAAGTGATCCCTCCACATGAAATCAGGATGCTGTTATCAAAAGAAAGAAAATGAACTCTGGCAACTAAAAAAAGCAATCGATGTTCACTGTACTATTTAACTTTGTGTTAATGCAGAATTATAGTTTACAATGCTAGTCATAAAAACCGCTATGAACATAAGAAATGATTTGTTTTGAATACAGTGAACCCAGTTATTGTCACTTAACCTACATTAGAGGATTTACCACACTGAAATTCTCAGATTTCTCTCCCACTTAACTGTGAGTTCCATGTGTTCCATAAAGCAGTTAAATTAAATTAGAAAACAGGAAATAGCGACTTTTATAGTCATGTTGAAGAGGACTTTGTGATAATTTACCACTTCCTAGAATCTATCTTCTCCTTCCTGGTTTACCTAATCGTCTTACTCATCAAGACTCCGCTCAAGCATTACCTCACCCCAAAAAGACACTTTTCCTACACCCTCCTACCACACCCCATTCTGCCCTACGGCCACTCTTCGCTGTGCAGAAGGCTGTGACTTGTTCTCATCCCACTGATTCACGCTGTTTGATTGCCTATCTTCCACACTAGCCAGACTGGCAGACTAGCTTGTTCTGGTTTGATTCTCCAGCCCCTTACACAGTGACCTCACATCAGACCTTCAGTAACTATTTGTCGAATGAGTGAATGGATTTGCCGGAGAAAGGGCGTAAGGCATTTCCTATGGACCCCAGTTTGTATAAAGGCACGACACCTGGTATGTTCAGGAATGGTGAGAACTTCTATAGGATTACAGCATAGAAAATTAATGGGAGAAGAGACTGGTTAGTGAGTTTGTCCAGAATTGGTCTCTAAAAGATCACCTACGTCAAGCTGAAACAATTCTTAGAAACGGAAGAATTCATGAGATTTGGCAAGTGGCGGAGGACAGGACACTGGAGGCTATTTGGTGACTAAATCCTGGTTGGGCAAGGCTAGCAGAGAGAACCCCCAGGCGCTGAATATTGTCATCTCTGGGAGCTAAAGAGGTCAGACCCGGTTTGGGAGGAGAGTCACCTGCTATGCGCTAGGCACTTTTCTAGGTTCTGGGGACACGGTAGTGAATAATACAGACAAGATTCCTGTTCCCGTGGAGCTTTTATTTTGGTAAAGAAGACATGAAAATGATAGATGGACACAAATGCGTGCGTCCGCATTCTCCAACCTGCAGCACCGTGTCACAGGTGAAATGTTCCAGAGCATCACCGTCCCGGTGAAGCGCTGAGCAGGCTGGAGAGGATTCCCCCGGGGTATAGGACATGGAACCTCCCTTGGCCCACATCCTGGTCACTTACTGCTAAGTTTTCATAAATATAATGGCCAGTGCTATACATATTATCCAGGAATTTGTCTCAAAGTTTTATAAGCTCTGGATTTTAGAAATATGTAACACTTAAAATGTATTGCAAAGATAATTTTGTCACCGTAGTGCTTCTTTAGCAAAAGCTGCTTTTCCTCCCTACCTTTATACTACAGAGGGATATTTTTTAAAGCTTAATTGGGTAAATATATGGTAGTATTAAAAAAAGGCAATCATCGCCGATGTCATTGGCAAGTTGTGTATGTAGTTTACAATTTCTAGTGCCTGAAAAATAATCTGGCATTTTTATAAGTTCATTCACAATCTGCCAACTGTTGGGGTTTTGTTCTTCAATAGAATGACTCCATTTAAGTAGAGGAGTTTTTAATTCTCGACGTAAACATCTGCCTGTGCCAAGTGCTAGTCTCTCATTCTCTTCTCTCACTTGCGGACTCATTTAATGATAAAGGCTTTTTCTGCTCTCTTCCAGGGCGCTGATAAGACTGTGAAAGGTCCTGATGGACTAACTGCCTTTGAAGCCACTGACGACCAGGCAATCAAAGCACTTCTTCAGTGATGGACGGTGGGCTGACAGCTCTGGAAGAATGACTCTCCTGTGGCCTCACACTGCTGCCTGTCTGTCTGTCACTCTCTATCTGCCAGCTTCTTCAGCTAAATACTTTGCGAGGGGTGAGGGGAGAGAGAAATTCATTACAAATCAGACTACCAGAAAAAAAAAACAATGTTTGGGAGAAGAGGAAAAAACCATGATCAGGCTTTACTAGGATCCCTGATCAAGTCAGCCTCTTTTCCATTTCCAATAAAATACACGGCTTCTACCCAAGGAAAAGCAAAGACAAAATATACCAGTAACATTTGACCCTTTCAGCTCCCTAGCTAATTTATTAACTAGATCGTGTCCAGGGTCTGATTATACAAAGGCCAACTACCCATATTTGGTAGCCCTCACTGTACAAGCAGTGGCGGCTGCTGCGATGTAAACTAGGGTGCTGAGATAAGCAATTAGCTATAGCCTTCTGCCTTAAGGTGCACTCGGTTGGGGGTCTCCTGGCGCAGTTCAGAGCGCTGCCCGTGGTTGGTGACCAAATCTTCCCTCGGTGGCTTTCAGCTTCACGTGAAAGCTGAGTTAAGGTGAGGAGGGGCGCACTCCCAAATTGTTGAATGACTGAACTTTGGATTTCTTCTCCCCTTTCACATGGATTTCTTGCATCTTTAGGTAAACCGACTAGTTTTATTTGTCAAATCTTAAATTTTGGAAGTCTAAAGGAGAAATCATTCCAGTACGCATATTTTTTTTTCTCCTCTAGATTTACACATTTACATAACATTGAAACACTTTCGAACTCCTGCTGGTATTAAAGGGGGATTTAAAAATAGAATCATAGCCATAAGCCTGATAGTATCACATAAAGAAAGAACAGTTGTCTTAGTACCTACAGATTTTCTTCACTTGCTATTTGAATGGATTGGCCTCAGTTTTGTTTGGAAAATCAAGGGACACTGTGGAATGCCTCTCTCAGACCCATCTCGGATGCTGATTACTTCCTGCACCAAAGCTATCACTGGGGTGAGATTTGCTACTTGGACACATGTACCCCATCCCTTCAAAAAATGCTTGCTAGTTACCAGGTTTCCCTGAGTTGATAACTTCTGCTGAACATCCGCCAGCCCGCTTGCATAGTATGTTTCTTTTCTAAGTCATGCATTAAGTATGACACCTTCAAAATGTACTCTGTGTCTTTAAAATACAGTGCCCTAAAATGGTGTTAAGACCTGCCGAAAATATTTAGACACATTTTCAAATGTGTATTTAATGAGCAGTACAACTAATTAAAACATATGCCCTTAAATTTTGCTATCTTGCATTTAAAATGTTAAGATTCCTTTGACTTGCCATCCATATATGCATACTTAAAATATTAGGATTTTTTCCTTAGTTACATCATGCAATAATTGAATGTACCTCAAATTTTTAAAAAGGGGGGAGGGTGGGTTAGGGACTTGTATTCAGATTATGGATAATACAGAATTGATGATTTTTTTAAGGCAATGTAGCATTCAACAGCAGAGTTAAACTAGTATCAAGAACAGTCAGCCTGGCTAATAACAGATCTTATTGATCAGTTGCTGATTGGTTGGTTGGTAGGTTGTTGTGAGTGTGTGTGAGAGTGTGAGAGAGTGTGTGTGTGTATGTGGGGGTGTGTGTGTGTATTTTTCCCCACGAACCCTTTTTTTATCCTGTGGCTTTTTCACTTACAACTAGCCCAACCCTGTAATTTTTCTTCATCCAAGAAAACAATCACGAAATGATGGTTTAAATACTTTGATATGTTTGGCTAATTCTGCTGCCTTAATGCAGCCTGTTAGAGTCGGATTAAAAGTTAGTAATCAGTACCTTATTCCATCACTGAACTGAAACCTGGAGCCATCCTCATTAAAGACGGAGGGCACTCTGTCAGTCTTTAACCGTCAACATAGTGACAAGGTGTTCGATATCTTTGTTTCCACCTCTTGGCATATGCTATCTGAAAGGCTTGGGTTTTACCCTCTACAGTTTTTACCTTTACGTTCTCAGTGTTCTGTTGCAGTTGGCTGTTGCAGAGAGTGCACTGTCCTATCATTCCTAAACCTGGTCTGCTTTCTACAGTCACCTGGTACAGAAACCACGTGACTTTTTTGTACAGTTTATCCTGATGTTCCTCGTAACGCAGTAGAGGCTACTTCGCCTTCCCTCTTCTTTCTCAGCCATTTTGTAAGCCCCATAATTATGAAGAGGTTGCTTGAGAAAATAACATATAAACATAGAATAGACTGACCAAGATGGTTTACAATTTCTTCTCTTTTTTTTAAACTAGGTTATTTATAATGTATTTCTGAACCACTTGGCAGAAAAATTCACAACACTTAAATGTTCATATTTGAGTAAAGGAAGCTAAAAAACCATGTCTGCTTTTTGGTACTACATGCATTAGTGAAAGGTTAAGTAAGTTTTGTTCTCCACTGAAGTTATATTTAACATCTCAGCAAAAACCTTGCATGTTCTGTAGTTTTGTATTAAGTCAGTCATTTCGTATGCACTATATCAAGTCAAAACAGGTGGTTTGCCTGTTGACCTTCGTATACTAACAAATTCCCCCTTGCAGCTTCAGACTGGTATCTGTAGACTTAGAGTTCAAATCCAGCACCTGACTAGATCCAAGTAGTTTTTCTGTGCACAGCTCACCTCAAGCCAGTGGGGCCTGAAGGCGAGGTGGGCATGTGCAGTGTGTGGAAGCTGCAAGCAAGTAGGTCCTTTCTTCATTTCTTTCTCTCAAATAATGGATTTTAAATTTCTATGGATCTTTTAGATTTTTTTTTTTCCTAAAACTTCAACTGAGCTGCTGTTTTCTTCCATGCAATATTGTATACTCGATTGTGTATAGAAGAAGCTGGTGAGAGTGCCCTCCTACATAAGCAATTGCAGTGTTTGCATGCAAAATTTAAAAAATTTAAATTGTCCTGATTCTATTTTGTAAATGGAGAAACAATCATATCTTTCTAAGCAGTAATGGAGGAAGACTAGTGCTTTGTGCATTTTGATATATTTGAGTTCATTTTTTCCAAAACGTAATACTTTTGACACAATTGGGTTTCTCATATTATCCTAGTTCATGTACATCAGAATGCTAAATAATACTGTGTTCAAGTTCTGTGTTGCAAGAACAAATGGAATAAACTTGAATTGTGCTACAGCTCATGTGTCGGCAGCATTTTTCTCCCTCAGTTACTAGAGCTCTCCTTTTCCATTCTTCTCTGCAGCTGAACCAGTACTGATTGACTCAAACTTTTAATTAATCTAAAATTTCTCCCTGGATCCCACTTCTGGAAAAACATAAGTGGAAAGACATAGAAACGATTTGAAATAAATGACTTCATTGAGAAGTGCTGCTTTTGTGTCAGTCTCCCGATACAAATTGTTTTGCCATACATGTTTAGCCGCATTACTAGGATAGGAGCAAGGTAAAGCTAAGCATCCCAGATCAGCAGGATCTAAACAGGTGTTAAAATAGTCACGGTGAGAGCTCTGACCCTTTCAGATGCTCATGTAAGTGGCTGCAGCTTCCTTGGAGGGTCACCTTTTTTCCTAACTCACTTGAATGAGCCCTTTCTTAAGGTGTACTTTTCAGGACAAACATTCTGATTTAACATTAAATCACTTTAACCTCAGAACTAAACAAGATTATACGTAAAATTAGTTTGATTCTGTTATAATCTTGTCTACGCCCTAAGACTGTTTTGTAGTTGACTTTTGAAATGGTCCATTAACGATAGAAAAAATATACAGATGCTAAAATACAGCAAAAGCTATCTTTCAGAACTTTCGTGTTTTGCCCATTGAAGTATAAATATAGGGTAGCATGTGTGGCTGTAGGTGGGAGTGTCCATGGAAAATTTTATAAGCAGTGACATTCTCATTTTAAGAATTAAGGTATATAAAAGCATTTAAGTCTGGCAAAATGTTTTAAAGGAGACAGGGCCCCCTTATATAATTGAAGAGCAGACCACCGTCTGGTAGAAGGCACACATCTAGAGGAAATAAAGAGCTTTGGGTAAATTTCTCTGAAATTCTTTTGTGGTTAGAGAGTAGCTATCACAGCACTTTCACACGGCACGGTATATCAGAATGTTATAATATTCTTTCTGCAAAACCAATCATTCTCAAAAGGTGGTCCTTAGACTAGCAACATCACTGTCACCTGGGAGCTTGATAGAAATGCCCAACCCGGGCCCACTGAATCAGACTCGGGCTGGGCCCAGTGATCAGGTTGTAACAAGCCCTCCAGGTCATTCTGATGCACACTCCAGTTTGAGGACCAGTGTGCAAGACCAAAAAGAGAAGTAGTCTAAAAGCCTGTAAGTAGGATGCCATCAAGGCTGGCCTCCTGGAGAGAAATGGAAGTAAATGGAAGCCTTTAACACAGACAGCATAGCAAAACTGTCCAAGTGCAGAAGCTCTGGACACCCAAGAAAAGCTATGATCTTAAGTTATGTTCAGGGCAAAAGAAGTCAGGGTAAGATGTAGCGATGGCTCCAAAGATGTAACACTGGTGAGAATGACCATGCTCTTCATTGTTCTTAGGGTTTTTTCCTGAAGGATGTCCTCCCAATTGCTGTGGACAGTATTTCCACAGTCCACAGCAGCCCAGGGTTACAGCCCCCCACTGCTGACATACTGAGACCTGAGCCCTGCCCAAGTCCCTTCCTTGAATTCCAAACAGGTGAGGAAAGCATCCGGGAACCTGGGGAGATGTGTCATAAGTCCTTATTCCATGCTTGCCACATTGCACATCACTGTGGGGTTGCTCCGGTCACTTGGCTGCATCCCTGCTGGCTGCTTCTGCCTGTCAGTCCTGTGGCAGGAGAGAGCCACTCTGGGAGGCTAAATGCTACTTTCTCAGCCCCACTGCCCTGTGCTGGCATTAGTGCTGTGAATATGGATTCTCCACTGCAGTGGCTGCCACTTCGTGCCAGCTAACCACCTTCTGGTCAACTGTCTGTCCCAAATTGCTAGCCAGGTCATCATACATCAGCGTTAGGATATTTTTCTTCAAAGCTTTTACTTCATTGAGATGCAATTACTGATTGAGAATAAAATTTATCAGCAACTTTAACAGCACCTGACACATGGTAGACCTTCGCTCTATTTGTTCTGAATTACTGTCAAATGTGAGATAAGCTGTTTCAGTAAATCATCTCTAAAGGATTACTGGCTCTTAGATCCACGGAACTACATCTTAACGTCGTTATACCCAAATACTGGCCAAGTAGGCTCCTAAGAACTACTGATACTGCAAACTCAAAGCAATGCAGTCAAGGCAAATGTCACAGTCACAGTGATTCACTGAGGAAATGCTGACCCAATGGGGTCAAGTGCAGGTCACTGAGCCATTGTGGCACATACTGAAGCACAGCTGTAAACAGTCGCGAAACAAAGGATTGTCCGGTCGCCCGAGCAACTTCTATGCATTCCCCAGCTGCAGCGGCAAGAATAGTCTCATTTACACGGTTGGGATAGAATGATGGGTCACATGTCAGGCTACACAGCCACAGCACCTGAGCACACAAAGGAAAATAATGCATAGACAATTTCTGGCCACTCAACGCCAGTTTTGAGGATACTAGTAGATAACTAGAATCATTCTTTTAAAGAAGCTACCTTTTTCTAAGGTTTTACTAACAAAATCTAGGTATCTATAAGGCCCTTCCTGACATCTAATAATGTTCTATATGTTTCTGCTCATCCCCTGTGGTGGCTACCAGGTGATTTGCTAGTCAAATTTCAGGAGGCTTCAAAGTACTCAAATCTAAGCTAATTTACATTAATTTTACAACTAAATTTTTTTAATTAACATTTATTGTATGATAGGAGCTAGGCATTGTGCTGAGAATTTTTTTTACCACATTGCTTTATTCAATTTTCACAATAACTATATGTTAAAAAGAGAGACAGACTAAGAGGTTAAATAAAGCTCACAGCCAGTAAAGAGCTTATAAACAGTAAAATTTAGTTTTGTCTCATTTTAGAGCCCATGCGCCTTCAGATTAAGTGAAAATAAGGGCTGTTCTCACCCAGACGTTCAAAAGCAATGCTCATAATCCACTCTCACAGAACGCTGCTTCAGTGTATGGGGCGCGGGGAGTGGGGGGTGGGGGCTCTGTGGTCTCATTGCTTTTTTTTTTTGCTTTTTTTTTTAAACAGATCTCCAGAACTTATTCATGAAAACTTTGTAACCTTTAACCAACACCTCCCCTCTCCCCCTTCACCCAAGCCCTGGGCAACCGCCATTCTGCTCTGTTTCTATGAGGATGACGATAGCCATCCCCCCTCATTCATGGGGATACAGTCGGAGACCCCCGGTAGATGCCTGAAACTGCAGATAGTACTAAACCCTGTGCATGCTGTTTTCTGTTACACCCACATAACTCTGATAAAGCTTAGTTTATAAATTAGGCACAGTAAGAGGTTAACAGTAACTAATAACAAGAACGATTATAATAATATACTGTGATAAAAGTTATGTGAATGGCTTTGGGGCCATTATTAAGTAAAATAAGGGTTCCTTGAACACAAGCACTGTGATACCATGACAGTCGATCTGATAACTGGGATGGCTTCTAAGTGACTAATGAGTTGGACCTGTATACAGTGTGGAGACTCTTGACAAAGATGATTCACATTCCAAACAGAACAAAGCAGGATAGTGCAAGATTTCATCATGCAACTCATAATGGCACAAAAAAATTTAGGAATTATTTCTGGAAATTTCCATATAATATTTTCAGACCATGATTGACCACAGGTAACTGAAACCTCAGCAAGCAAAACTGCAGATAAGTGGGGTACCACTATATTTTATATTTCACATGTAAGTGAGATCATGCATTATTTGTCCTTCTGTGTCTGGCTTATTTCACTAAGTATAATGACCTCAAGCTCCATCAATGTTGTTTCAAATGGCAGTATTTCCTTTTTAAAGGCTGAGTAATATTCTATTGTATGTATATACCACATTTCCTGTGTCTGTTTGTACACCAATAAACATTTAGGTTGCGTTCATACCTTGGCTATTGTGAATAATGTTACAATGAACACAGGAATGTAGGTCAGATCTCTTCCAGACCTAGATCTCAAATCCTTTAGATATATACTTAGAAATGGGTTTGCTATGACACTATATATAGAGAATGCTAAAGAATTCACCAAAAAAAAACAAAACAAAAAAAAAAACAAAGGAAAACTATTAGAACTAATCAATGAATTCAGCCAAGTAGTGGGATACAAAATTCATATTTGGAAATCAGTTGCATTTTTATACACTGATAACAAACTATCAGAAAGAGAAATTAAGAAAACAATCGTATTTACAATTGCATCAAAAAGAATAAAATACCTAGGAATAGATTTGACCAAGGAAGTGAAAGACCTATACTCAGAAAACTATAAGACATTGAAGAAAGAAATGAAGAAGGTACAAGAAAATGGAAGCACATACCATGCTCATGGACAGGAAGAATTAACGTCATTAAAATGTTCACACTACCCAAAGCAATCTACAGATTCAGTGAAATCCCTACCAAAATACCAATGACATTTTTTGCAAAACTATAACAAATCCTAAAATTCATATGGCACCACAAAAGACCACAAATAGCCATGGCAATCTTGAAAAAGAACAAAGTTGCAGGTATCAAGCTACCTGATATCGAACTATACTACAAGGCTATAGTAATCAAAGCAGCATGGTACTGGCATAAAAACAGACACATAGGTCAATACAAAAAGAATAAAATACCTAGGAATAGATTTGACCAAGGAAGTGAAAGACCTATACTCAGAAAACTATAAGACATTGAAGAAAGAAATGAAGAAGGTACAAGAAAATGGAAGCACATACCATGCTCATGGACAGGAAGAATTAACATCATTAGAATGTTCATACTACCCAAAGCAATCTACAGATTCCGTGAAATCCCTACCAAAATACCAATAACATTTTTTGCAAAACTATAACAAATCCGAAAATTCATATGGCACCACAAAAGACCACAAATAGACAAGGCAATCTTGAAAAAGAACAAAGTTGCAGGTATCATGCTACCTGATATCGAACTATACTACAAGGCTATAGTAATCAAAGCAGCATGGTACTGGCATAAAAACAGACACATAGGTCAATAGAACATGATAGAG